TTAAGCCCTTCAACTGGTCTTATTATCTCCAAATAATGGATCTATCAGTTAACTTTCCAAGTCTGCATGATTACGCTCTTGGTGTGTCATAATATGCAGCAACAGACATGACATCAGTCTTCTGCAGACAGGAGGAAACCTTTCCTCAGTCTCCTCTCCCCAGTGATCAGATTGCAATACTAACTTTGTAGCAAGGAATAATATAAGGGCTGCAGCAAAAAAAAAAAAAAAAGCAAGAACTGCAAAGGCACCAGGATTTACATAAGTCACATCAGTGTAGGAAATAGATGGTGACTCTGGATGATATTTGAAAAAAAGATAATGACACGCTTCTAGAGAGAAAAGTAGATGAATGCATTGTTCAAGGTAGAATGGTGATCTCTGAGAGAGTTCTAGATATCTGAAGTGTTACAATGACACAATTAGCAGCATGCACATAAAGGCTACGTTCACCTTTAGGAAATTGTTACATCCATATTGAGGGTGTAAAGTAATTTGTTTCCAAGCAATCGCTTTCCTCCCACAGAGCCCCTTCCCTGTAACAGCATGTGGGGGTTCCTCTCTCTGCCGCCACATTTAAAATCGGCAAGGCTGTGCAGGGTTCCACAGCAATTTGTGAATGAACTAAAAGTTCCATCTGTCACTGTGGCAGACAGATTTGTAGTTCTCAATGAAGTACGAGTACAGCAATCAGTGCACTTGTAGTCCACTGACATTTCCTCCAGCTCTGTAACTGAATGCCTGTACTTCTGTATGGCCAGAGAGAGCTGACATTGCACCCACGAACCACTGATTGTGTGCATTTGTTTGCAGGCTCCTGTGGAAAAATATATAAAAAAGACTTTTTTTTATCCTGTAAAAATATTTGCATTTATTATTTTTTTCTTAAAAAGGTGAACTTGGCCTTTAACATAAAAAAAAAAATATATCTGATCTAGGTGCACTTTAGGATATGCCTATACATTTGATCACAATGGCCTGTGCTATAGGCAGGGTTTGGCCAGAATGCTGATCTACCCTTTAAGCAAAGACCACCTAAGACCTTATTGTTGTGGAGTGCTGATGCAGGCAGGGAGCAGAGGATCTTATTTTGACAGTACTTCCATTTTAAAACGGTTGTACTACCTCTCGAGAACGTCAGGAAGACAAAACGATATGTTGGGGCGTAGCAGGAAGGGACGTCATCCCACACAGTGACAACGGAAGTGGTTAATACAGGAGAAGGTGGCGGTGAGAGAGACTAGAGCCAGATTCATCTTATCCCTATGCTTATGACGTAACATGCCTTTTTATCCTGATGCAAGAGTATGCACCTAACAATGTGAATGGGCATTGTGGAAATGGTTTTTAATAAATAAAAGGTTTTAAAGATTTGACGCTATAGTAGTCTCCCTCCATCTCTGCCTACATGTTGTGTGAGACATTTAAAAGGAAAAAAAAAAAAAAAAAAAAAAAAAAAAGAGTGCAGCTGGCCCAAGGAGAAGGCTGATGGTGGTGATCCACGATACTAAGTGCTGTCTGACTAACCTGTGATAGGTAGTCATAAATCTCTGGTTTGTGTTCTGTGTTTATGGTGGAGGAACACTATGGCACTGATTGTTGGAAATGGAGCACTTTTTGAGCATGGACACTTTAACAAGTTTGAAAGCATTGTGCATTATACTGTGAATAACTGAAAGCACTTGGACACTTTATATGCACAGAGAGACTTTACTGAAGCACAAAGGACACTTTATTGAATCATGTTTAATTTTTATTTGCGTATATGAGCATTGTAGAGAATATGCTTGGTTATTGTACATGTTTAAACAAAAACCAATAGAGCTGTATGAAATATAAGAGTACATATAAGGGCTGATACGATTAGTATAGCACTTGGTAAAGCAGCTGTGGTGAATTAAGGGATCACATCCAAAGCGCTGGTTCACACTATTTATATTGGTACAAAAGAACCAACGGTGTGCAAAATGAAACTAACAGCTCTGACATTTTCCTATCCTTTGTGGTCCGGACTTTAATGTTTATCCTTTAAGATCACTCATAATAACTCGCAGTTATGTAGCCAGGCTGGATCTACTGACTTAGCCTGTTTTTATCTCTCTCTGCAACTATGACTCGAATGTACCTTTAGGAGTGCATAAAACAAAATTTCAGGTGATCAGAATCAAAAATACTAAAAATTATGGACTATTCCAAATATTCCAATATAACCTAAATTTACAGTCTAGTAATCCCACCAATAAATACTGCCAACTAACACTATTGAGCCCCTTTAGTCTAGAATGGCAACCAACACAGAAAATCAGGGAGCACAGCAAACATGCCGATTTACCCAAGAGATCCATGCCTGTAGGTGCCATAGACAAATTGTTTTTAGTTACGTATTGTTTTACATCACGAGCAGACATATAGTGATTTCATATAAGATTATTTACACACTGACAATATTCTAGGGCCAAAAAAAACAATAAAATGTTCTGTGTGATGTTGGTGAGGGCCCCAAAGCTACATTACATGCTACAGTGAAATCTGGCCCTGGGTACTCTCCTTATAGGGTAATATGCATAGCCATGCAGTTTATGGCCAAGGACATAAAATCAAAACTTTATACTTTGGCAATGTATACTTTATTGCCAAAAGTTTGTGGACACTTGACCATCACAACTATACAAGTTGTTGGACATCCTATTGCTAAATCATAGGAGTTATTATGAAGCTACCCCCCCTCCCCCCTTGCATCTATAACTGCTTATAGGAAAGCTTTCCACAAGAGTTTGGAAGGAGCCTTTGGGAATTTGCACTTATTAGTCCAAGAGAACATTTGTGAGGTCAGGTACTGTAGTTAGGACAAGGTGGACTGGATTGCAATTGGTGTTCCAATTCATTTCAAAGCCGTTCAGTAGTGTTGAGATCAGGCCTCTGTTGAAGGCTGCTCACGTTCCTCCACACCAGACTCATAAAACCATATCTTTATAGTACTGGCTTTGTGCACAGGCAACCTGTAATAACAGTTTGAGGAAGACCCTTTTCTATTTCAAAGTTGGAAATGCACAATTCTCTAAAATATCTTTGTATGCTGTCGCATTATCAAATTCCTTCACTGGAAACACCAGAATATATTGTACATGCTAAAGAGGTTACCATCTTCACAGTTAGCAGTCTGGGAAATCAATATCATTAATCTTTATATCGGTTTTCTTTGTCCAATGCAAAAAAGGATTAACTCAGCTCTCTTTGATAGTGAGGGTGGGTCAGCTGACTGCACCATACCCGCCTTTCTTAAAACAACATAAAATTAAATAATTACTTTCATAGGATCTGGCATAAGAATATGTACTGACACATGCCGCCCAAGGGTATAAAGGCTAATCTCATTTCATTTCTCATTTAGAACAGGTTTTCAGGCCTTCTTCTGATGTCTGAATCTTCAAGAAAGGTTAAAGCAAATCATGATGCTAAGTCATGTCTGTGAAGCAGTAGGTGTTGGGAAATATCTTGCGATTTAGGATGTCATGGGTATTAATAGAGATCTATTAGATCAGTGTTTCTCAACATTTTTTTCAGTCATGGCACCCTTTAAAATTCTGCACAATCTCGAGGCACCCCATTGTAAAATTTAAAAAATTGAACTTGCAGTTTTACATAACACAACATCCACAGGTGTAGGACACTAAATATTAGAGGATATTTATTCTTCCAAAGCAAATACATCTTTGTACACTGAGTATTGCAGTGTTTCTCTTTTGCCCCAGTTTCTCTCCCTCACTCAGATAATGTAACCCCAGTGCTGATGGAGAAGGGCAGAGTAGGGCCAAACAAGGATGCTGTGCATGCGCCATATGTCCTCCTTATCAACCACAACGTCACTGGTTGTTAGGACACCGGCGGCTAGAATGTTGTAATAGTGCAAAATGAACACCTGTGGCTGTGTGTCACTAAAAAGCAGGCTGATCCAGGCTTGTTGGCAATCTTTAGGCATTTTGCCAAGGCATCCCTAAAGATACCTGAAGGCACCCCAGTTGAAAAAAGGTACAGGATGTAGTCACCTTCTCTAGAAACATCATATGCATACATTACTATCCTAGGATCTGCTTTAACAGCCTGTACAAAACAGCCCGTGCAGAGGAGTGGTGCTTATCTCATATTTATCACACTTAACTGTAGTGATGGTCTACTTTTTAATTAAAGACAATTCATTTTCTTAAAGTGTATGTCTGGGCAAAAAAAACACATTCAGTACATTTCTGCAATACAAAATACTAGGACATGCACTTTGAGCATATGTACTTCATTTTTAAACTGCTGTCACTAGTCTCAAGTAAAGGGACAGGCTAAATTCTCAGCAATGTCACTGGTCTTCAATGAATGGATAGGCTGCATTCTCAGTGACATCACCAGCTTTTAGTGATGTGGCAATATGGGAGTGGACATCCTAACACTTATCCAAGGGTCTAGATTCACAATGAGAGATGGACGCCGCTCGAAACAGCCCACATTGAATAAAGAGTGTATGTGTTGGCCTCAGCCCTTGCTCCAGCTTCTGATGCATTTTACCCTGCCCATCGAGGGCTTGCTCTGTGACCAAGCCCCAATGGGCGGGGTGAAACGCATTAGAGGGTGTGGCCAGAGCAAGGGCTGAGGCCAACACAGACACTCTATTCAATCCATGTGGGTTCATTGAATGGCATCCATCTCTCCTTGTGAATCACCAACTTCTTTTGAATGAATGAGCTGCATTCTCTGAGATATTGGTGATATCGATAGTCTCTAGTGAACAGAAAGGCTACATTCTCAGTGATGGTGGTTGAAAATAAATGGATAGGCTGCATTTGCAGTGAGGTCATTGGTTTATAGTGAATGGATAGGCTGCATTCTCAGTGATTTCAGCTGTCTCTCTGGTCTCTAGTGAAGCGACTGCATTTTTAGTGAAAGTAAATTTTGCCTTCAAAAAAAAGAAATCTGCCTATATCAAATCAAGTTAACAGTTATTTAATGACAACTTACGTAAAACAGTCACAACGCTCGTCATAGGCGATCATTTCTAGGTCAACATCAGATGCAAGGGGAGGTCGAGCTCCATTCTAGAAAAACAACAGAATAAGAAACAAAAAAAAAGTCTTTGGAAATCTAAACCACACTCAAACTGTGTCTTCTTTAAGAAAATTATTTTTCTGTGAAAGTTGGGGCAAATCTCTAACTTAAGTATCCCAACATTTCCTGCACTTGGGAAATTGCAGATGGTGCAGAGGTTCTTGGAATACGATACGTCACACACCGCTGTGTTTTCTTGTGTATGGTCATGTACAGTCATTTACTTCTACGCTGGCTGTACGTGTCACATTCAGCACCTCGCGCATGGAACACCTGGTATTTTTACAGCAAGCAGATTTGCACCTGCAAACATCTATGTACATGGGCCCTAAAGTTTATTACACCGCTTGGGGTATGCCAGTGCGGAGTTCCCAATGCAGAACGTATGCGGTGCCCATTAAGGGGATCCCCCATTTATACAGGATTTTTAGTTGATTTTATATTCACCATAAAATCCTTTGTCTGGAGTCCACTGAGGGGAAACAGAAGTCCTAAAACGTTGGGTTATACTGCTGCCCACAAAAGGACTGAACACTGGGGGGGAAACCATTGTAGGTCAGCCCAGGGAATATCCCCTCCTACAACTAGCATGCCTCAGTTTTGTAGCAAAGCAGTATGGAGCACATGATCATAATAAACACGATGTGGTGGGACCTTGCCCCCTCCCCCAATGGACTCCAAGAAAAGGTTTTTTTACAGCAAGTTCAAAGATCTTATTTTCTTTCTCGTCCATTGACAAGGGGTCTTAAACCTTCAGTACCGAGGGGTGAGCCAACAGAAAAGAACTGCACACAAGCCTAACATGACAACAGGAAAATGGGGCTGCCCAATACTCAGATTAACGTGAAGGACCTTACACCCGATGGCATCAGATGAGGCAGAAATGTTTGCTTGGTAGACAGCCTGGTCCTTGGCGTCAAACAAATCAGTCTGTCTAGAGATGGTATTGATGTGTTCCAGGATGATAGAATATTGCATTACAGATGTTTTCTGTGAAGTTTGGACTTCAGGACCAAGGTGTCCTAGCTCCAATCCCTACAGAGTTTTGCTTCAACCTGTTCACAGATCTGTCATTGCCTCCCTTCAATAGGGAAACTTTTGGCTTCTGTGGACATAGAAGATGCTTACTTACATACAGCAGGTAAAGTATTGAACATGTCACCATTTTTCTAGGTAAATATATTTTAAAAAGTGCTATTGACATTAAATTTTCACCACGTTAGCAACCCATGCAATCCATACATACAAAGAAACCAGAACAAATAAGTTCAGAAATTAAGTTATGTGTAATAATATGGAATCTTTCATTAGATTTTCTATTGTATTCAAGTCAGGTGATTGGCTGGGCCATTCGAGCAGCTTTATTTTCTCTTTTTGAAACCAATTGAGTTTTTTTGGCTTTGTGTTTGGGATCATTGTCTTACTGAAATGTCCACCCTCGTTTCATCATTCTGGGAGATGGCAGCAGATTTTTATCAAGAATGTCTTGATACATTTCTCTATTCATCCTTCCTTCAATCATATGAAGTTTGTTAGTGCTGTATGCTGAAAAACAGCCCCACACCATGATTTGCCCACCTCCAAACTTCACTGCTGATATGGTGTTTCTGGGGTGATGTGCAGTGCCATTTGACCTCCAAACATAGTGTGTATTATGACATCTGACGAGTTCAATTTTGGTCTCATCTGACCAGACTATATTCTCCTAGTATTTCACAGGCTTGCCTAAATGTTGTGCAGCAAACTTTAAACGAGCTTCAACAAGCTTTTTCTTCGGCAATGGAGGTTTGCGTAGTGAGTGTGTATACAGGCCATGACGTACATTACTTATGGTTTTCTTTGACACAATTGTACCTACTAATTCCAGGTCTTTCTGAAGCTAAACACAGGTGGCCCTTGGCTCTTGGAGAACTCTTCTGATAATTCTTTTCACTCCCCTGTCAGAAATCTTGCGAGGAGCACTAGGTCATGGCTGGTTTATGGTGAAATGATGTTCTTTCCACTTCCAGATTATTGCCCTCAACAGTGCTCACTGGAACATTCAGAAGTTTAGAAATCCTTTTGTAACCACTGCCATCAGTATGTTTTGCAACAATAAGGTTGCGAAGGTCTTCAGAGAGCTCTTTGCTTTTACCCATTATGAGAGGTTTCTTGTGCGACACCTTGGTAGTGAGGCATCTTTTTATAGGCCATCAGTTGAGAATGAACCAGCTGGTATTAATTTGCACTGACAAGGGGCAGGATTGCTTTCTAATTAATGACAGATTTCAGCTGGAGTCTTGGCTTTCCATGCCTTTTTGCACCTCCCTTTCTTCATATGTTCAATACTTTTTTCTGTGTCAGTCCATTTTATTACACATAACTTCATTTTTTAACTTATTTGTTTTGTGTTTTTTGTATGTTTGGATTGCATGGGTTACCACCGATATGTGGTGACATTTTCATGTCAATAGCACCTTTAAAAATATTACCGAGAAAAACGGTGACGTGTTCAATATTTATTTTACCCGCTGTACGCAAGTAGGCATCTTCTATGTCCACAGAAGCCATAAAGTTTCCCTAGTGAAGGGAGGCAAAGAAAGATCTGGGAACAGGTTGAAGTAAAACTCTGTTCTGCAGCAGGGACTGGAGCTATGACACCTTGGTCCTGAAGTCCTTTGGGAGACCAGTGGAGATCTGCCAGTCTGTGAAAAGACAAAAGGAAGGTTTCAAGTTCTAAAATAGAAAGGCATAAAACTCGGGTTTGAAGCCCTGGGACACCACCTCTTGCAACCCGGAATCTGCAAGCTGCCCAGGCGTCCAAAATGCTCAACAGATGCCTCCCCACACTGGAATTTTGGAGTACATCTTCCTGGGCTAGGAAGGCCTACCTAGGGATTAGGCAGACTTGAAGTACTAGCTTTTGCGGGTGGTTGAGGAGCAAAGCTTGGAGGGCCTCAACATTGAAGTCGAGGAAATTGAGAAATTTAAGGGATGCTTCTTAACGCTCAGAGAAAGACTGCTTTGCAATTTGCTCTTTGGGATTCTCCTGCTGGAGAAGATAAGTGTACTTGCCACCAGTAAAATCCATCCTACTAGAGCTGCTCCAAAGAGGAGCTGTAACTCAAAGGTTGTGGGAATCAAACCATTGTTACAAAACAGTGCTGCAGTCTGGCTCTTTAGTTAAAGCACCAAACACCTTGACAGGAGACACATATGGGGGTGGGGGCATTCTTTGATTTATCACAGCTGATATTTAGCACAAGGGTTGTGAGATCCCTGTAAAGGAATTTTACCCAGTCAGTAAGATCTTACTTGCTGTATAAGGGGGTAACTTGTTTTTTAATGAAACAGGCGATGATTCTTATGCATGGGATTAGTGCACTCATTTTGCGAGTATGCTTCTTTATATACGAGAATAAATTTCACATCATGGGGCTACTACACTACGAGAGAACTTTTAATCTTTCCCCTGTATTGGCTTTAATGAGAACCATTGAGCTGCTGACAGGAGATTGTAAAGAGTGAAAGATCATAACCATGATATTGGGAAGTCTGCTTTTGACCTAACTTGAGAGTTAGTCAATAAGTGGAGGTAAGCTGAAGAAAAGTGCTCCAAAAGGACAAGAGCCATATAAAGGCATACTGAAAGTTGGAGTTGTTCTACCCTGGTCTTGCTTAGGTTTTTTTGCTCACCAGTGTCCAATCCTCCTCTAGGCAGCACTATAAGCTGAAGGTTTAAGACTTCCTGTGTTCCTCAAAGGAAGAGGAAGGCAATCTATTCTGAAATGCATGTTATATGACACTTCAAAGCACAATATTATGAGTTAAATTACTTTGGTAATGGTTCTTAGGATAGCCAGCCGGTCAGCAGGGGGTGGAAGTCCAACATACAGAGTTTTGTCTAGGCGTCCAGGCCGCAGGATAGCTGGGTCGATGATATCTGCAGAAATGAAAATGGGGACATTTGTGAGACTTGGCAGCCAATGTATTTCTGGGGACTTGAGACTGCACAATTAGAAATCCTACAGTGCCCTTACACCATATCACCCTCTGAAAACTGACACAGTTACTTCTGGCACAGGACAGAAGCATGACGTTTTGCCACAAAATTAGCATCATGTTCACTCCCAATTATGATTTCACAGTCAGGCATATAACACATCTTAGCATGACAATAATTAGACCTGGAACGTAAAGTTTTAAGTTACCACAAGTAACAAATAACACAGTGAGAGCTTATCTGAGAGGCAGAACTTGTTCATTGCTCAAGGAACCCTTAGCAACCTCTGGATGAACCCTAGGGTTTCATGGAACCCTGGTTGAGAAAGCCTACACTATAAATAGAAGTACACAGCCACTTAGCGTAGGATGGCAAGGCACACCCTTGCTCTACCCTTCACAGGCTGCCTGTAGAAAACTACAGAAGGGGGAGGATTCAAGACCAGTCAACCTGCTCAAGTGGAGAGCGCATCACTGACCGGTCTTGTTTACAGGAAGCTCCTGCACAGAGCCAAAAGTTCACAATGGATTGTTGCACAGATCTGGAACAAATACACAAAAGCACACCAAAATTCAAACAGGAAAACACACCTCTTTCTTTTAGACAATATGTACTTATCCCTTGGCTCAGCTTTGATATTTTTCTGATTGGGATAGGTAATGTGCGAACACAGGAAGCCCTTAAGAATACAGAACAAATGACAGCTAGACTGACCCCTTTAACCAATTCCAACTGCTGATACACGCAGTGAAGCGCAATACAAAATAAGAGCTATTGTTGCTGTTGGAAACCTTTTCCCAGAAGCTCCTTTTTAAAGTGTGTTTTGTGAGTGCCACCTACACAGCATTTTCACTTCTCTATTGCTCTCATGGAGTTTATATTCTGGGGAATCTCCATTCCATGTCCTTATTACTCACTGGCATCTGTTGTCAGAAACTTTTCCAAACTTAGCAGCTTTCAGGAACTTCCATTTCCATGGGAATGGGGGCCATTTACTAAATAGGCAAGTTTGCTAGATCTCCCACGCACCTGTTTGCTTTGTTTTATTACCCTGTGTAGCTATCTACATGTGTTCCATACGACACTACTGTCCGATCAATGTCACATTGTTGCTTCTAACTTTTTGGAAAATTTGTCTGGGCCTGAAAAAGTGTATCTTAAGCAAACTTTTTTTTTTGTTACATTTTCTAAAAAGGAACTTTACTTTGTTTTCCAAAAAAATAAACAAACGTTGGTAACTACAAATGCTGTATTGTTATTAATATTATTATACAGGATTTATATAGCGCCAACAGTTTGCACCGCGCTTTACAATATAACGAGAGACAATACAGCAACAATACAGTTCAATACAAGAGGGTTAGGAGGGCCCTGCTCTAGCTGCTGACTTTTAAGAATCAGACAATTACCATCCTGCACTACTGGGGAGGTTTTTCCTATACGTGATTTTATTAATTGCAGTTCCACCTTTGTAGTATATATGCTGGAATGTAAGTGATGGATAGATTGTAAGCTCGAAAGAGAAGGGCCCTTGACCCCCTCGTGTTTTGTTACTGTATTGTCTCATGTTCTGTCTCCCACTATAATGAACAGCGCTGAGCAAACCTTCTAGCGTTATATAAATACTGTATAATAATAATAATAATAATAATGTGCAGTTTTACAGAGATTGTCTTTGTGTCTAGTATTTAAATATGTTTGTTCTGAGTTGTTTTATGGCTATGAAAAAGGTTTTTCACAGAAACGCGCAAGGTGCTGTAACTTGCACAGTCTACCCTTTATGAATAAAGTACTTTTAATCAGGCGAACAAGTTGCCAGCTCTTCACCTTATACTCCTAGACCAAGGGTGTCAAACTGGCGCCCCTCCAGCTGTTTCGAAACTACAAGTCCCATCATGCCTTGTAACTGTCAACCTTGCAATGCCTCATGGGACTTGTAGTTTGGCAACAGCTGGAGGACCGCCAGTTTGACACCCGTGTCCTAGACAATTACTAGTCCCTTGAGTGCAGCGCTACCTTCCTCACAGCCGATTCTTAGCAGCACTTGAGAGGAGAGCCAAAGCGCGGCAATCTTGGATATGGGAGAAGGTTGTGACTTCCTGAAGTCTCACAGCCGGATTCCCACTGCGCATTCACAAGGCACAGCAGCACAGTGGGATGGTGCCCTACAGCCTCCTGTAAATGTCTGATGTCCCAGGAGCTTCTAGGGGTGGAGGGTAATTGCGGAAGTGTGAGTTGGTACTTGTTACAAAAAGTAAGAATCAAACTTCCTGTCTTAAGATGACAAAATTCATTCACTGTCCTGTCTATGAAGGAGCAGCATTGCCACCCAGGGACAGAAGATGTGTTTGGACAACAAAACACTTCGCCATGTCCATAATAGGGGGAGGGTGTTCTGTAGTCCACAAAAAGAACTAGGAACAATGCTAACTTAAAACAGTGCAGCACAGTAAGTTATCAGCTCACTGGATTTCTGAGCTATATTTTTCCACCATCATGCCCATTATAAATTGTAAGCTCCACGAGCAGGGCCCTCACATTCCTTCTGTACTGAAATGTATTGTAATTGCGCAGCACTTAACAATATAAGGGAGAAAGTACAAACTGTTGGCGCTATATACAGAGGGGCAAAAAAGTATTTAGTCAGCCACCAATTGTTCTCCCACTTAAAAAGATGAGAGGCCTGTAATTGGCATCATAGGTAGACCTCAACTATGAGAGACAAAATGAGAAAAAAAATCCAGACAATCACATTGGCTGATTTGGAAAGAATTTATTTGCAAATTATGGTGGAACATAAGTATTTGGTCAATATGAAAAGTTCATCTCAATACTTTGTTATATATCCTTTGTTGGCAATGACAGAGGTCAAACGTTTCCTGTAAGTCTTCACAAGGTTGGCACACACTGTTGCTGGTATTTTGGCCCATTCCTCCATGCAGATCTCCTCTAGAGCAGTGATGTTTTGGGGCTGTCGCTGGGCAACACGGACTTTCAACTCCCTCCAAAGGTTTTCTATGGGGTTGAGATCTGGAGACTGGCTAGGCCACTCCAGGACCTTGAATTGCTTCTTACAAAGCCACTCCTTCATTGCCCAGGTGGTATGTTTGGGATCATTGTCATGTTGGAAGACCCAGCCACGTTTCATCTTCAATGCCCTTGCTGATGGAAGGAGGTTTGCACTCAAAATCTCACGATACATGGCCCCATTCATTCTGTCCTGTACCTGGATCAGTCGTCCTGGTCCCTTTGTGGAGAAACAGCCCCAAAGCATGATGTTGCCACCCCCATGCTTCACAGTAGGTGTGGTGTTCTTTGGATGCAACTCAGCATTCTCTCTCCTCCAAACACGAGTTGTGTTTCTACCAAACAGTTCTATTTTGGTTTCATCTGACCATATGACATTTTCCCAATCCTCTTCTGCATCATCCAAATGCTCTCTAGCAAAACTTCAGACGGGCCCCGACATGTACTACCTTAAGCAGGGGGACACGTCTGGCACTGCAGGATCTGAGTCCCTGGCGGCGTAGTGTGTTACTGATAGTAGCCTTTGTTACGTTGGTCCCAGCTCTCTGCAGGTCATTCACTAGGTCCCCCCGTGTGGTCCTGGGATTTTTGCTCACCATTCTTGTGATCATTTTGACCCCACGGGGTGAGATCTTGCGTGGAGCCCCAGATCGAGGGAGATTATCAGTGGTCTTGTATGTCTTCCATTTTCTAATTATTGCTCCCACAGTTGATTTGTTCACACCAAGCTGCTTGCCTATTGTAGATTCAGTCTTCCCAGCCTGGTGCAGGTCTACAATTTTGTTTCTGGTGTCCTTCGATAGCTCTTTGGTCTTCACAATAGTGGAGTCTGGAGTGTGACTGTTTGAGGTTGTGGACAGGTGTCTTTTTTACTGATAACAAGTTCAAACAGGTGCCATTGATACAGGTAATGAGTGCAGGACAGAGGAGCCTCTGAAAGAAGAAGGTACAGGTCTGTGAGAGCCAGAAATCTTGCTTGTTTGTAGGTGACCAAATACTTATTTTCCACCATAATTTGCAAATAAATTCTTTCCAAATCAGCCAATGTGATTGTCTGGATTTTGTTTTCTCATTTTGTATCTCATAGTTGAGGTCTACCTATGATGCCAATTACAGGCCTCTCTCATCTTTTTAAGTTGGAGAACTTGCACAATTGGTGGCTGACTAAATACTTTTTTGCCCTACTGTATACACACACACACACAAACACACACACACACAGTGGGGAAAATAATTATTTAATCCCCTGCAGATTTTACAAGTTTGCACATTTACAAAGAAAGGAAGGGTCTATAATATTTACCATATGTGTATTTTAAATGATAAAGAAAGGATATCGAGCAAAAATCCAGAAAAAAAAAAAAAAACGATACAAATGTTATATATTGAGTTGCAGTTCAGTGAGTAAAATAAGTATTTGATCTCCAAGCAAAACATGACTTAGTACTTGGTAGAGAAACACTTGTTGGCAAGCACAGAGATAGGACGTTTCTTGTAGTTGGTTACCAGGTTTGCACACATCTCAGGAGGGATTTTGGTCCACTCTTCTTTACAGATCTTCTCTAAATCCTTACGGTTTCTTGGCTGTTGCTTGGCAACTCAAAGTTCCAGCTCCCTCTATAAATTTTCTATAGGATTAGGGTCTGGAGACTGGCTAGGCCACTCCATGATCTTAATGTGCTTCTTCTTGAGCCACTCCTTTGTTGCCTTGGCGGTATGTTTTAGGTCATTGTCATGCTGGATGACCCATCCATGACCTATCTTCAGTGTTCTGGCTGAGGGAAGAAGGTTCTCATCCAAGATTTTACAATACATGGCCCCATCTATTGGCCCCTCAATGGGGCAAAGTCAGCCTGTACCTTTAGCAGAGGAACAACCCCAAAGCATGTTTCCATGCTTGGCTGTAGGAATGG